CATCTGACAACAAAGCATATATTTGTTTGCACCATGTCCATGTCTCACCACTTTTCTACCCTCCACAGCCCACCGCTCTGTACATGCCCTCACAATCTGCCCAGGGTGGCACTGCCCACATTGGAATTTTTGTTTCTTTACATATTCATGACCAGATGTTAAAATAGGAATCCTGTCTCTGTTTTGACAGATGACCCCAAATCTAGTTGCTAACTGTGCCCCACCTTTCCCAGAAAGATAAAGGGCTAAGCAGAATTTACAAAGGAGATGACCATGATAGGGTTTTATGGATCCCACCCAAGAGTGTGTCCTACAAGGAGCAAGGCAATCTCAGCCAAAAGCAACAGGAAACAGGCTCATATGCAGAAGCTCAGGGGAGGAAGGGGAGCTGTGGAGGAGAGGGAGCAGTAGAGAAAGTCAGAGAGCCCCTCCTGGGAGCACTCACCCTGAGCACTGCCACAAGCCCAGGGAGCCAAGCCTGCACCACACCCTCAACACACGCCTCCCCCATTTCCTTTCCAATTCAGATGCAGATCAACTAAAAGTAACCAAGCCACTTTTTAAAAAAAAATTATTATCTTATGGAAGTACCCAAAAAACTAAGGGGTCTGCCCAGGCTTGCTTAATAGTCCAATAACTTGTTTGAAGAGCTAGGATTAGAGTTCAGAGGAGAAATAAAGCTCTCTACCGATTGTCCACAGATTCTTCGGCAGAAGACTGTTTGCTTATGATCTGTCTCATGAAAACACTGAGGCCCAGTAGGAGGCCTCCAGCTCCTAGCCACCACTCTCACGAACCCAAAATGAAGTGCCAGTCCTCCTGCGAGTCGGGGGCTAAGCCTCCTCTGGGCCCAGCTTCAAATGCAGCAAGGAAGGACACTGAGCCAAGTGCTGCTCAAACCCGAGAACCCCCGCCTGGGCCCTGCCAAGGTGCGGAGGGAAGGCCCCTGGAAATCAGACTGTCGTCTGGCTCTCCGGTCTGGCCTCAGCGAGTCCAGCAAGGCCGTTCTCTGGATCCGGTTTGGAGCTCCCAGACCTCCTGGGACTGGCCACCGAAGCAGCTGTCCAGGCCCTGACAGGGCCCCACAGACTTACATCACCAGGACAGAGCCTCGGGGAACGACTGTGGTGGCAGGTAAGCCAATCTCCTTTTTAATGGACACTGTGGCCACTCATCCTGCCCTCTCTGAATTCGCTGGGACCCTTGTCCCCTCCTCAGTCTCTATTATGGGGGTTGGCAGATCAGTCTCACAGCCACTAGCCATCTCAAATTCCCCCATTCACTCTTTCCTCATTCTACCTCAGTGCCTGGCTAGGGCTGCTGTGCATCCTCTCATAAAGCCCAGCTGTCCCAAACCACAGTCACCTACCTCAGTTTCACTCTCTCGACCCACGAGGCCCAGCCATTCCTGGGACTGTAAGCGCCTATCTCCTCTAGCACTAGGAAGAATGCGGGCAGTTTAAAAACTCAAGCGGCTAGAGGCCTGGCTAACCTGGGAACAGCTGCGGAGCCTGCTCCCTTCCTGCCTCCTGCCCCTTTTCTAAGCAAGAAAGTGAGGCTTCAGTCCCCAATCCCGACAGGATAAGGTTGCTGGATACTTCTTAAGCCAAACCAGAATATTCACAGTCTAACCTCTTACCCAACCATCCAGGTCCGTGGCTTTCACTACTCCTCTCCTTCCCCTTTCCCTCCCACTTTCACTGCCACACAGTCTCAATCGCTCATCTACTCTCCCAGCTTGGAGTGCGGAACTAGAAAAGAAATCTCATACCCTTTAGTCCACCTCTTCTCCTTACACCTATCAGCTTGACTCCATCATCAGGGATTTTTCTTCCTCTGTGGGGAAAACTCATACATCCGTCTCCCCATCAGCTGGACAGGAACCTGTACTCTCATCTATCTTTCACCCAACGTAGATGCAGCCTCAATGATCAGTCTTTACCTGTCCCCATAACCACTGCTCTACCTACTTTGAAACCCTGTCTCAGGAACTACAAGAAACATGTGGATGCCCAGCAAGGGGCAAAACTGGAAAAACAAGAACCTACTTCCAAGGGTAACTTATTCTCCCCTTTCATATCACTAGTGAGGCAATTAAGACCCCTACTCTTTTCCCCCTAAAAAATAGCATCTATAATAGGTCTCAGTTATCTTTTAGCTCCAGATCTGTCTCCCACTCACTTGGACAATCCTGCCTCAGGGGTTCAGAGATAGTCACCTGTTTGGCCAGGGTACCCAGAGACCTCCAAGAATGCTTGTTAGAACCCAGCACTACACGTCTCAGAGGCAACAGCTGGCCTCCACTGGTAGGATTTCTCCATCATGGATCCCAAATTTTTCTCTCCTAGCTAAGCCCTTATACCAAGTCTCCTCACTCTCCTTCGTTTGCTAAACTTTCTCTAACTCCGGGACACCCCTCTGGTGTCTCTCTCTCTCCATGGGGGTCCTCACCCAGCACCTAGGGCCAGCCCTCACCCCATAGCCTACCTGTCCTAACAGCTTGATTTCACAGTTTGGGGACTGCAGCCCTGCCTCTGGGCTCTGGCTGCAGCTGCTCTTCTCATCAAGGAGGCCTAGAAGATAGCCTCCAGCTACCCTTACGGGTGTTCTCCACCCATAGGCTAAGGGATTTTCCGTCACACCGATCCTTATCTCTCCTTGCCCCTCTCATGTGCAGGAACTCCATCTCCAGTTCCTGGAGAGTCCTGACTTCTCCCTAACCCAGTCCCCAGCCCTGAAACCCCAGCCACTCTCCTGCCTGCTGCCTCCACCCAAACTGCAGCAAAGCACTCCTGCCCGAGGTCATCAGAGGCCCTCACTCAACCTTGGGCAGGACTCTCCGGTTCCTCTAATCCTGATTTAACTCTGTTTGTGAATGGAAGCTTGTGTCTAAACCAGCGTTTTTCAGCCGCTGTTCCGCGGCACACTAGTGTGCCGCGAGATGTTGCCTGGTGTGCCGTAGGTGCAGACAAGACAAGAATTTTATAATTTTTCACTATTTTGTTTACTTAATATTTCATAATAAAGTAATTATAAAATACTTTCTTTGTGTTTATTTGATTCCTATTCAAGAGAATTACTTTATATATAGTCAATATAGGCACAGAGTTAAATTTTTTAACATTTTCTAATGGTGGTGTGCCTCGTGATTTTTTTCATGAAACAAGTGTGCCTTTGCCCAAAAAAGGTTGAAAAACACTGGTCTAGACCCCCAGGAACGGAAAGCCTCCTACGTGATTGTAACACTCTGGAGATGGCCTTCATCACTCTTCACCTCGCCCACACTGCGAGAGGCAGTCATGAATGCCTGCTCTTCCTGCTCCACGTTTGCAGCTGCCTCACTCCAGGGAGGAATGCACCCCAACTTTCCTACCCATCAAATGAAGGGAACACCTCCCAGGACAGGACTGGCAGGTAGACTTCACCATATGCCTCCCCACAAGAAGACCAAATATCTATCACCATGTAGACACCCTGACAGGGTGGGCAGAGGCCTTCCCTACCTGCAAGAAAGCTGCTGAGGATAACACACATAATCTCTGGCATCTCCTGGGAACTGCACACACCCTACCACCCACATCCATCGGGTAAGATCCAGAGGAGCACCGGCTTCCTTAAAGACCATCTAACTAAACTCTCTCTCTAGAAATTCCCAGCTCCTGGCCGGACCTTCTGCCCATGGTCCTGACTGGAATCCAGGCTACACCAAGGAGTCCCACCTTTTTACATCCCCAAGAATCTTACCCCTCAGGTTGTCTTTCAGCTCCAGGCCCAGAGAAACAGCAAAACCAGACAAGTAATGCCGTGGCAGCCTCAGAACCAAGTGATTCAACAGGACACTCTCTTCACCAACCAGTCTCTTGGAGAAATCATGCTGCTGCACCCCTCGACCAGCACGGAAAAACACTACCTGCTTTTTGCTCGCTTACCCCATGGCTCTTCCCACTACTCGGCCCACTGGTATTTATACTCTTAATTTTTCTCTTTGGCCCATGTCTCATGCATTGTTTCACTAGTCTTTTGCAGAACAGAATTCGCCAACCAGAAGGTGGCACTGAATTCAGAACCAAACATCAGAATCTTTGAGACCCCGGGTAGACGCCCCTAAGAGACGACGCACCTCACAGCTGGAAGTACAATAGATACGGAAGACTGACCTTCGCCCCCTGACCTTGCCCAGACTCTCAATTTTTTTTTTAAATATTACCAGAAGCCTGGAATAATAGATCGTCCCTTTCTCCAGTTGATGGACAGACGTAAACCCCACCTGCGGTCAGACATTCCTGAGCTCTGAACCACCAATCAGCTCCTGCCAAAACCCTAAGCCCTCATTCCTAAGTCCCTAGGTCCCTAATCAATCAGCATGTGCTGAGTGCCCTAAGCCCCGCCCTCTATCCTTAAGGTGCTTGTAAGCCCCTTGCTCTCTTCTGCTCCTCTCCTTGTAAGCAGCCGGCAGGGGTACCCTTCCCTCCAATAAAGCGTGGGTCCTGCCATCCCAGTCTCTGGTCTACCTTCTCTATTTAATCTATCATAGTCAAGCCATTCTCCTAAGCCAGCACCCCTGGCCTTTAATACCTCATCAGGCTGCACGTGGTCTCAGAGCTACTTCTTCCAGGCTGTTCTGTCTTGCCTGCTCCAACCTCAGGCAAGCAGAGGTAAATGAGGAACACAGCGTGGAGCACACTCTCTAAAGAAGAGGAAGGAGCCTGGCCAGTGTGGCACTGCGGTTTAGCTTCAACCTATGAAACAGGAGGTCACTGTTTGATCCCAGTCAGGGCACATGCCCAGGTTGCAGGCTCAGTCCCCAGTGGAGGGTGAGTGGAAGGCAATCTATCAGGGATTCTCATCATCGATGTTTCTATTTCTCTCCCCTTCCTTCCTCTCTGAAATCAATAAGAATATATTTTTGAAAAAAAATATATATATATATTTAAGAAAAAGAAGAGGAATGAAGGAAGCATAAATATGAAAAACTCAAAGAAAATAAGGGATCTGATTTAATTTTGAAGACACGTTTATTTTTTTAATTGTTCGTAAGATAGCAGGACACCAGGACAGCAGAGTGCAGATGCCATATCAGAAGCAACAGAAGCAGTGGTGCCTAAGTGGGAATGTACAGTGATTTATTGGAGTATAGGAAAAATATAACTTTATTCATATTTATTTTTTGTTCACTCTATTAAATGTTTGAGTGCTTTTTAATGTGTATAAAAATCAATGCACACATAATTTGTAAATTGCAAGTATACACATATTGAAACGTTTGCTCAATTTTTACTTATTTAATTTTTTACAAACAGGTAGGGTCATACAATCATAGTCTGTTAGAGGCCAAGGAAAATGAGGCCTGGCCTTGGAGGACCTGGAGCCTCTGTGTGGGAGCCACGGGCCCACGAGAAGCAATTACATCACCCATTGCTGGACATCACAAAACTTTTTTGGATTCTTTTTCTCCACCACTGTATAGGTGCAGGTTTTCGGGTTGAATAACTTATTGCATTTCAATTCGTTGTAACCCACAGGTACAGCAGCACTGCCAGTGAGACAAAAATAAAGCCAATTATTGATAGAAAGAATAGGATATAGACCCAAGCCATTACACTCAGAACACAAGAACATACAATGGAGCCAAGACAATCTCTTCAATACACGGTGTTGGGGAAATTGAACAGATACCTTAAAAAAAAAAAAATGACATGGAGGATCCAAGATGGCTGCACAGGTAAACACCTAACTGCAGCCGCACACAACAATTTCAATAAAATACAACTAAAATATAAAATGGACTGACTGGAAATTCTACAACAAGAAGGAAAGAGAAAACCAGAAGGAAAATCAGAGGAGCTGAAAAAGCCTCAGGTACGGAGACACGCTGAGAGCACGGAGAGGACGGAGCCGGAGAGGAGGGGAGGCTGAGTACCTGGCTGGTGTTCTCTAGCAGGAAGGAGATAAAAGCTCTGGATTGTGCTGAACCCCAGACCCGACAGCACTGAACCCCAGTTCTAGGCCAGACCCTGGGGACCCAGGCTCATACAGAGGAAGCCTGGGCTGTGAGGTGGAATCCCAGGGGAGCAGCGAAAGGCAGAGCCCCCAGAGGCACACACATTGCACGCAGAGGACGGACTGTTGACTCTACTGCCAGATTGCCCTAGCAGGAAGGAGACAAAAGCCCCGGACTGTGCTGAGCCCCAGTTCCAACTGCTCTGAATCCCAGTTCTAGGCCAGACCCCAGGGACCCAGGCTCATACAGAGGGAGACTGGGCTGTAAGGCGGAAACCTGGGGGAGCAGCGAAAGGCAGAGCTCCTGGAGGCATGCACATTGCGTGCAGAGAACGAACGGTTGGCTATGCTGCGGGATTGCCCTGGCAGGAAGGAGACAAAAACTCCAGACTGCTCTGAACCCCACTTCCAATCCCACTTCCAACTGAACTGAACCCCAGTTCCAGGCTCATTGGGGGAGAGACTAGACTGTTTGGTAGCAGGCGAAACTCGAGGGCACCTCACTCTCAGAGGTGCTTGCAGCGAGTACCGAAGGACCCTGAGAAACACTGAGACTCAGGAACCGCATAGGGCGTGGCTGACATGGCTGATGGAAGCCAAGGCTGTAGGCTCCACCCTGAAACTCTGCCCCATCCAAGCCGAACACAGAGACTTTTAAGGCTACCAACTCAGGGAAGCTGCGAAAATGCCAAGACAAGGAAATAGATCTCAAACGAAAGAAATGGAGGACAAAAAGTGACTGGATATAGAGTTCAAAACCACGCTTATAAGGTTTTTCAAGAATTTCCTAGAAAAGATCGATAAGTCCTATGAGGATATGAAAAGGGATCAACTAGAAATAATAAGTAATCAACAAGAAATAATAAGGGATCAACAAGAAATAAAGAATACATTGTCTGAAATAAAACATATTATACAGAGTCCTAAAAACAGCCGGGACCAGTTTGGCTCAGTGGATAGAGCATCGGCCTGCAGACTGAAAGGTCCCGGGTTCGATTCCGGTCAAGGGCATGTACCTTGGTTGCGGGCACATCCCCAGTGGGGGGTGTGCAAGAGGCAGCTGGTTGATGTTTCTCTCTCATCGACGTTTCTGACTCTCTTTCCCTCTCAATTCCTCTCTGTGTAAAATCAATAAAATATATTAAAAAAAAAAAAAAAAAAAAAAAAAGCAGAGTCCTAAAAACAGAATGGAAGATCGCAAGAATCAAGTCAAAGATTTGGAACATAAAGAGCCAGAAGACACTCCTCCACAGAAGCAAGAAGGCAAGAAAATCCAGAAAGTTGAAGATAATGTAATAAAACTCTGGGACAACTTCAAGCGAACCAACATCAGAATTATGGGGGTCCCAGAAGATGAGAGAGAGCAAGATATCGAAAACATACTGAAAGAAATAGTGACGGAAAACTTCCCCCACCTGGTGAAAGAATTAGACTTGCCAGTTCAGGAAGTGCACAGAACTCCAAACTAAAGGAATCCAAAGAAGACCACACCAAGACAAATCATAATTAAAATTCCAAGAGCAAAAGACAAAGAGAGAATATTAAAAGCAGCAAGAGCAAAGCAGATAATTACCTATAAAGGAGTACCTATACGATTGTCAACTGATTTCTCAACAGAAACTATGCAGGCAAGACGGGAATGGCAAGAAATATTCAAGGTGATGAATAGTAAGAACCTATAGCCAAAGGTAATCTACCCAGCAAAGCTATCACTCAGAATCGAAGGCCAGATAAAGAGCTTCACCAATAAAAAAAAGCTAAAGGAGTTCATCACCACCAAACCAGAATTATATGAATTGCTGAAGGGGGTTCTTTCGGAAGAGAAAGTAAATAAAGATAAAAACTATGAACAACAAATACGTAACTATAAACAAGTGAATCTAAAAATCAAAGAAATTTAAAAAAAATCTAATGAACAATATTAACTGTCAAATATAATAGAACCAGAGGTATCAGAAGGGGAGTGAACTGACGATTCTCAGGGAAAAGGGGAGAGGGGGATGAGAGAAGAGACTGAACATAAACTGTGCACCTATGGATGAGGACAATGAGGGGTGGGGAAAGGGCAGAGGGTGGGGTGGGCACCCGGTCGAGGGGAGAAATGGAGGAGGGGAAAAAAAGAGGAACATTTGTAATAATATGAACAATAAAGATTTATTAAAACAAAAAAAATAAAACTAGACCAACTTATACCATACACAAGAATAAACTCAAAATGGATAAAAGACTTAAATGTAAGTCATGAAACCATAGAAATCCTAGAAGAAACCATATATAGCAATGTTTCAGACATCTCTTATAGCCATATGTTTGCCTAGGGCAAAGGAAACTAAGGAGAAAATAAACAAATGGAACAGCATCAAAATAAAAAGTTCCTGCATAGCAAAAGAGTAAAAAGGGAGCCCACTGTATGGGAGAACATATTTGGCAATGATACATCTGTTAAAAGTATCCAAAATATATAAGGAACTCATACAACTTAACAAAAGGAAGACAAGCAATCCAATTAAAAAATGGGCCCTAACCAGTTTGGCTCAGTGGATAGAGTGTCGGCCTATGGACTGAAGGGTCCCAGGTTTGATTCCGGTCAAGGGCATGTACCTTGGTTGCGGGTACATCCCCACTTGGGGGTGTTCAGGAGGCAGCTGATCGATGTTTCTCTCTCATCGATGTTTCTGGCTCTCTATACCTCTCCCTCTCTGTAAAAAATTAATAATAAAAAAAATATATATATATATATTTTTTTTTAATATATTTTATTTATTTATTTTTTTACAGAGAGAAAGGGAGAGGGATAGAGAGCTAGAAACATTGATGAGAGAGAAACATCGACCAGCTGCCTCTTGCACACCCCTTACTGGGGATGTGCCCGCAACCAATGTACATGCTCTTGACCGGAATCGAACCCGGGACCCTTCAGTCCACAGACCAACGCTCTATTCACTGAGCCAAACTGGTTTCAGCCAGAGAGATGCATTTTAAAATGACAATAGGTATCATCTTATATCTGTCAGAATTGTTTCTATCAACAAATCAACAAATGACAAGTGCTGGCGAGGATGTGGAGAAAAGGGAGCCCTAGAACAGTGCTGGTGGGAATGCAGACTAGTGCAGCCACTATGGAAAACAGTATGGAGTTTCCTCAAATAATTAAATATGGAACTGCCATTTGACCTACTGATCCCACTTCTAGGAATATATCCTAAAAACCTGAAACACCAATTTAAAAAAATACATATGCACCCCTATACTTATAGCAGCACAATTTATAATACCTAAACCTAAGTGCCCATCAGTGGATGAGTAGATAAAAAAGCTGTGGTACATTTACACCATGGAATACTATGCAGCAATAAAAGTGAATCTTATCCTTTGAGACAGCATGGAGGGACCTGGAGAGTATTATGTTAAATGAAATAAGCCAGTCAGAGATAGATAAGTATCACACGATCTCACTCTTATGTGAAATCTAAGTAACAAAATAAACTGATGGAGTGGATCAGAGACATGGAAGCCTGGAACAGATTGCGGAATCTCAAAGGGAAGGTGGGGGAGGGAGGGTGGGTGGGAAGTAATCAACCAAAGACCTTGTATGCACATATGCACGACCCATGGACTCAGACCCTGGGATAGGGAGGCGGGGTGGCTGAAAGGGGCCAATGGGGGAAAAGGGACATACGTCATACTTTCAACAATGAAGATTTTTTTTTAAAGACAGGTGGAGAGGTGGACTAGAAGGGGTCAATGGAGGAAAAGGGAGACATATGTAATACTTTCAATAATAAAGATTTTTTTTTTAAAGAAAGGATAGGATGCCCAGCCTTCTCTGGGCCAGCTCTGGGCCAGGGTCAGCCCACGCTCCTGCTGTCTAGGGTGCCCCTGAGCAACTTAAGATCACCGTTCAGTTTGCAACTCCAAAGTGCTGACTTCAGGAACCTGGATTTGAACCCATAGAACCTGGTCTATGAGCACATAGACCATCCCTGAGATAGTTCCTAAGTTCCATCCTGCATCACAGGACCAAGCAAGCTCAGAGAGGCCCAAAGGCAGGCTGGACCCCCGGGGCCAGGCAGCTTGCTCTAGCCTGACCTCTTGTTGTCCTGGCTCAGGGAGTGACCAGCAGCTCTGCTGCTTGAAGGTGGGGAGGGAAAGATTGTCCATTCCCATTGGAATCGGAGCTGGCTAAGCCACAGGAACAGAGTCACGCCAGGCCAGGATCATGGAGCCCAGGAGCAGCTAATGAAAGCTGGGGACCATCTCCCCAGGACAGTCCACCCACAATGTCAGGATTCATCACGCTCTTGGATCACACACACAATGGAACATTCTTCAGCCTAATTATGAAACAGGCTGCAGCACGGATGAACCCTGAGGACATTATACTGTGAAAAGCCAGGCACAAAAGGACAGATACTGTACAATGGCACTTAGAGTTGTGGGTTCATAGAGACGAGAGTAAAATGGTGGTTACCAGGGACTGGGGAAAGGAGGAAATGGAGGTATTTCCTGGGTAGGGAGTTTCAGTTAGGGGAGATAAAAAAGTTCTGAAGGTGAATGGTGGAAATGGTTGCACAAAAATGTGAATGTACTGAATGCCACTGAATTCTACACTTAAAACAATTAAAATGCTAAATTTTATGTTAAAATTTTTTTTAACACCGTTTAGTTTGAAACAGGGTGGGAGCTGCACAGCTCATTGCTTTTGGAGTCACCCCTATATGCAGGCAAAGAACCATCAATATTCCATATTTAACATAAAATGCTAAATTTTTTTATGTTAAAAACATTTTTTAAAATAAATTTTAATTTAACTTAAAAAAAATTTAAATCTTTCCTGGGGAGATGGTCCCCAGTTTTCATTACCACAATAAAAAAAAAAGAAAGAAAGAAATAGGGCCTATTCAGCATGGCTCCTATGAACTAGGAGGTTACGGTTTGATTCCAGGTCAGGGCACAGGCAGAGGTTGGGGTCTTGATCCTCAAAGCGAGAGGCAGCTGATTAATGATTCTCTCTCATTATTTGTGTTTCTATCTCTCCCTCCCTCTCCCTTCTCTGAAATCAATAAAAATATATTAAAAGGAAAAAAAGAAAGAAATAGTGCTGAAAAGGAAAGCACTTCAGAATGGGATTTTGAAAGAGGGAGGAGCTGTACCTCAGAGCAGCCCCCTTGTTGCTGCACCCCCTTGTTGGCCCTTCTGGCTGAGACTTACATGTTGCAGCAGCTAATTCCAGCTGGGTTACAAGAACACTCTTCACATTTATTATTCTTCCACTTGGAGTTCATCGGGTAGGTGAATCCATCGAGATCCCTGCATTCTAAAATAACACGTGTGGCATCATCAGTGGGGTCCTCCAGGCACACAGATACAATAGAACAAGGCTAGAGGGACACTGGGGCCAGCCCTGCCACCTGTGCCCCTCCCAGAGAGGGAGAATCTCATCAATTTAAGGGTGTCTAAGAAAAGTGCTTCTGTGGTCTGGCCAGCGTGGCTCTCTGGCTGAACGTGGACCTTTGAACCAGGAGGTCACAGTTTGATTCCAGGTCAGGACACGTGCCCGGGTTGCAGGCTCGATCCCCAGTGTGGGGCGTGCAGGAGGCAGCCGATCAATGATTCTCATCATTGCTGTTTCTCTCTCTCTCTGCCTCTTCCTTTCTTTCTGAAATAAAAAAATTAAAAAAATATTTTTAAAAAAGAAAGAAAAGTGCTTCTGTGGTCACCCACAGCTAAATTCCAGTACTGTCCAGCTCATTTCACCAATCATGTCTTCTTACTGCAAGCTTAAGTCCTTCCAGATCTTATTTCAGAGCAAATATTCCGAGGAAAAAATAAGGCCTTCCTCTTTTTTTTTTTTTTTTTTTAATTGATTTTTCACAGAGAGGAAGAGAGAGGGATAGAGAGCTAGAAACATCGATGAGAGAGAAACATCTATCAGCTGCCTCCTGCACACGCCCACCTGGGGATGTGCCCGCAACCAGAGTACATGCCTTTGACTGGAATTGAACCCGGGACCCTTCAGTCCGCAGGCCGACGCTCTATCCACTGAGCCAAACCAGTCCTGGCAAAGGCCTTCCTCTTTTAAAGGATAGCTTTATAATCCTAGGGGTACTTGGAACCAAGTTTTTGTTTGTTTGTTTTTTGTTTTGTGTGTGTGTGTGTGTGTGTGTGTGTGTGTTCTTTTTTTTGCTGGGTTATCTCTGGATAAATGATTCATTTTACTAATTCTCTATGCTTTGCTTCTCAGCTCTAAATGCACATGTAAAACATCTGGGCATAAAAATCTATGCTGGGTCCCACCTCCGAACAATGAGTCTCTCTGGCCGTGAGAGACTGCCATATGGTAGTCCAGGCTACCACATATTCCCAAAGCTCCCAGTAATTCAAACATTCGGCCAGCGGTCAGATTACTTCTTTCACCCGTGCTGGTCCGGGTGAGTTGGAGGAACTAGTAGCATCGGCACTACCGAGGCTGTGTTGGACATGCAGGCCCACAGAACCAGAACTTTTCATTTAGTGGGATTCTCAGAGCGTTCACATGCACATTGATGTCTGGAAAGCACTGCTTTGGAATATTGATGGTTCTTTGCCTGCATATAGGGGTGACTCCAAAAGCAATGAGCTGTGCAGCTCCCACCCCAGAGATTCTGATTTGCCTCAGATTGGATGGCCCCTGAGCATTAGTAGGTTTCAAAAGCTTTCCAGGCAATTCTCCTACAACTCGGGTTGAGAAATACTGTCTCATGCAGTGACAAATTAAAGTCTCTCATTTGACTCTATTTGATATTCGCCCTACCCATCCTCCCCGTGTGGATGTAAAGGCCTCCCTCTGCCAACAGGTTACACCTACCAAGCTACAGTAAAATAATACATTTGAAAAGCTGGGACTTACCCTTAAGATTGTCACCTGGATGATGTCTTTTAGGTATAAAAAAGCACTGGGCATTGCATAGCGTCACAATGCTGGCCAAGACCACAAGGCTTCCCAGAAGAGCATTCTGCAATGTGAAGGACTAGGAAGAAAAACAAACTGATTCAGATGGCGGTCAGTGACTGAGTGTCCTGCATGAGGACCCCTACTGGGCTCTGGCAGGTGGCTCAAAGGAGGAGTTTCAAAGGAACAACATCTACACAAGTTACCAAAATAAACTGGGGGAAAAGCTAAATGTGAGTCCAAGTCATAGACCAATAAAATAATGATAGTGTGCTTTAAAAAAAAAAAAAAAAAAAAACCTTGCCTGAGGCCCTAACCAGTTAGGCTCAGTGGGTAGAGCATCGGCCTCTGGACTGAAGAATCCCAGGTTTGATTCCGGTCGAGGGCATGTACCGCAGTTGTGGGCACATCGTCAGTGGAGAATGTGCAGGAGGTAGCTGATCAATGTTTCTCTCTCATCGATGTTTCTAACTCTCTATCCCTCTCTCTTCGTCTCTATAAAAAAATCAATAAAAATATATATTTTTAAAAACCTTGCCTGAGTATATGTTTTTACTGATTTGAGATAGCAGAAAGGAAAGAGAGAGAGAGAGAGAGAGAAGAGAGAAACATCAATCTGAGAGTGGGCACAGGCAGGAGGCAGGCATGAGGCAGGAGGAATTGATTTGTCTCTTTTACATCAATGTATATCTCTCTCTACTTCCCTCCCACCCTTCCACTCTCTCTCAAAGGAAAAAAATATCCTCAAGTGAGGACTAACAGCAACAACAAAAAAATAACACATATACAAATAGAAATGATGAACAGAGACATGGAAAAATTCAAGTTACTGCCGAGACCAAAAATGTAAATTTGAACATAAAATAGAACCATGTGGGATGACAAAAATAATTATTTCATTTATAATATCCAGAGTGAAATAAAGGCATATCTAGGAAGTAAAATGCACAAGGCTGGTTTATGTTTGAATAATCTTTATGGAGAACAACTGAATAGTATGCATCCATATTCTCCAAATTGTTTACAACAGCCCTGGCAGTGTTGCTCAGCTTGTTGAGTGCTGATCCAGGCACCAGGAGGTTGCTGGTTTGATTCCTGGTCAGGGCACATGTCTGGGTTGACCCCCAGTAGGACCGATCGATATTTCTCTTCAATGATGTTTCTCTGTCTCTCTCCCCCCCCCCTCAAATCAATAAAAACATTATTAAAAAAATGTGTTACAGCATTTGACTTTACCTTTTCACTTCTAAGACCTGGTCCTAGGAATGGCACAGAGAAGGACAGACTTTGCCTCTTGGATGCTCACTGCAGCAGGGAAATGAATCAACCAAATGCCCCAACAGGGCTGTTTGAGAACATGGTGACTCCGAAAGCAGACCTACCTGGTCCACTCAGGAGGTAAGAGAATATGAAATGACATAAATGATCACTGTTAGGACACGTTAAAGAAGGCATGTCACAAAAATGTCTGCACGGTATCCCTATGATGTGGAAAAAATCCACATTGAAAGAGATGCTCGAAGAGATGAAAGTTTTTGTACCAAATTCTAACAAGTGATTTTTGAGCTGTGGGAGTTTTCTTTGAACTTTCCCTCTTATTTTCTAAATTGCTTATAATGAAAAGCATTAGTTTTATAACCAAAAGAAATAAATGAATTCCTACAATAAACTCTCAATATAGTCAGTTCACATCAGAACTAGAGGTTGCACCTGCTCTCTCTGTTTCATTCTTTTTATATAAGCTTCAGCTTCAGATCATTGTGGAAACCTGAACTTTTTCTCTCAAAACAAACAAAAACAAATGAAAAAGCCAGTCTTATTGACAGAATTTCCACTTCCTTCATCCAGAAACAGTGCTCCTGAGAGGTGCTGGTGATCAGAGAAACGCTGGAGGTCTTGTTTTATGTGGTCACAGAACAGAGGCGCCAATGGGCACAAGCCAGGGCTGCCGCCCAGCGTGAGTGACGGGTGCAGAATTCCCGGACCTTCTGCTGCTCCGAGCGGAGGCACCCAATTGAATGACTCAGAGATGGAGTCCAAAGATGGTGACAAAAGAGAGCAAAGTATTCAGTTTTGAGATTAACCAGCTGATAAAATCTATATATAGCCTCCATATTCTCTTTTCCCCCCCACCCCCAACTCTCTCTCTCTCTCTCTTTCTCTAAGCCTCAGTTTCCTCCTCCGTAAAAAAGAAGTTCTCCCATATGAGTGGGCATCAAAGTAACCCAGGCTGCTAATAATGAGCACACAGTCTCAGTCAAGCTCTTTGAAAAAGGACAGGGCCACGGCCTTGGCATCTTTACCAAGCCCCCCAGATGAGAAACACAAGAAACAATCAAAACTAGTGCTTCTTTAATGTGGATATGAATCCCTGGGAAATTCTGTAAAATAAAATGCAGATTCTGCTTTGGTGGGATCAAAGGGTCCTAATTTCTATCCAAACCCCTCCCCCTAGGTGATGCCCATGACACTCGGCTGAGGCCACCTGAGTAGAGGCTCTCAAGTCCTGTCCTGTTCCCACGTTCTATTCCTTCACCTCCCTTCGCTCCCTTCCTTTCCGGCACTCAGCGAAGATGAGATGAGCACCCGTTACGGGCAGGCACGGGGACAGTGCAGCCGGGAGGCCCGCCTTAGACTTTCCAGATGCTGCACGTAACAGGTGCTTCATGTCAGCTGAGGGTGACACAGGCTGGCAGTGCCCCTAGGAATAGTGTCCCTTCAGGTAAGTTGTTGTTCCTTGTGTCTTCCCAGTATGATCAAGAGTCAGGCATCTTGCCCTAGCTGGTTTGGCTCAGTGGATAGAGCATCAGCCTGCGGACGGAAGGGTCCCGGTTTGATTCCAGTCCAGGACACAGGCCCAGGTTGTGGGCTCAATCCGCAGTAGGGGGAGTGCAGGAGGCAGCCCATCAATGATTCTCTCTCATCATTGATGTTTCTCTCTCTCTCTCTCTCCCCCTTCCTCTCTAAAGTCAGCATCTTTAAGAGTTTTAAGCAGGCCAAAACTGGTTTGGCTCAGTAGATAAAGCATCAGCCTGCAGACTGAAGGGTCCCTGGTTTGATTCCGGTCAGGGGCATGTACCTTGGTTGCAGGCACGTCCCCAGTGGGGGGTGTGCAGGAGGCAACTGATAGATGATTCTCTCTCATCGATGTTTCTAACTCTCTATCCCTCTCTCTTCCCCTCTGTAAAAAAATCAATAAAATATATTTTACAAAAAAGAGTCCTAAGCAGGGCAGGGATGTTGCCAGCTGTGCAGCTTACAGAGTTCACTCTGAGGGCGGAGAAGAGGTCCGACGGAGCGGGAGGATCCCACCCCACGGTTTTCCCGCTCTTCCCGCTCCGGCTTCCTGAGGCGTCTCTGGGCTGAGGCCCAGGGTCCGTTCTGGAGGACCTGCCCCCTCCTCTTCCGCTTTGCCGGTGGCCACTCCTTCCCCTTCTCCTTTGCACGCCAAGAGCAGCCCGGCTCGCTCCCTTCCACTGGCTCCAGCAAAGGGCACTTGTAAAAGACCAAGTTTGAATTGAAGGCAGAAAGGACATCTCAATGAGTTTTTATAGATTTTGATGCAAATTTTTTCTTAATACAACATGTTATATTGAAAAGGGCCTAGGATGATGGTTCTCAAATTTTGCTGAATATTTTAAAAAAACACACACCAATTACCAAAGACTCACTGCAAACCAATCAACTCAGAGTGTCCGGCGTGGGTGTCAGGCACAGGTGTCCACTGAGCCGCCCACGTGGGAGCCGCCGGCCTGGAGAGGGACACCTCGCTCCCGCCAGCTCTTCCCTCCCAGGCTCCGTTCTCATCTGTGACGAGGCCGTGCGGTAGCTCCGACATTATATTTAACTGCCAAATCACTCCCTTAGGGCCCAAGCATTAGAGACACGTATAAAACCTAATTGAATCCCAAACTTACCAGAGGAAACAACAGATTTGATCTTAGAGAACAGAAATAGTGCTAATTCATTAAGATTTTCTCAATCTCCCAGCCTCTCATCACACGCTGTACATTCAGTTGCAAATAATCTACAGAAGATTCCTAACTAGCTCACATTTACCATTGCGTTGTATCCAGTAGAAACACACTTCACAGCGCATTCAAATAAGGAATAAACCGTGTGTCCTTTGTCCTTTTTCTGGCCTCGAGCTAATGAAGCAACCAGTTACCTATCATTGTGACGAGCAAAGAGGGTTCTTATAGGCCTGTACATCCGGAAGAGTCCCGGCAGCTTATATAGAAAAGGGCTCCGGGGCCTGGCACCCCCAGGGAAGGTAATGTGCCAAGGACGCGATTCGTGTTTACAGAGGGCTGACTGTCAACAGGAAACTGGTTTCAGATGAATTATGAGTTATTCATAAATCAGGTCTCCACCCTGATTACGTTTACTCTTGCCGTCGGCACCCCTGATGTTTGTTTGCCCTGGACCTGGAGGAGCAGAGGGGGAGAGAACCCCTTTGCCGCGCCTTCCCATATGCTGGGCGGATGGCGAGGCACATGAGATGCCATCTTATTTGATTTCACACAGCCTGGCAGTGACCCTGGGCCTCCACAAGTCAATAGAACAATTCAATGGGCAGGCCAAGCCCCCCATCTTCCCGCCAGGGGCGTCCTGAGGAGCAGAGGGCCTCTGTGGAAGAAGGCACTGCAGCCTGGTTCCCTGGATGAGCCCCGGGTGCTCCCGCAGCTTGAACTTTCCGTGAGCTCCTTGAGTCGGAGGCCTTTGCTCTCCACTACAGCGAGCAAGCCTTCTCTGTGTTCATCAATGCTCTTCAGAAACACCTGCTCGATATGAAATAGTCAAAACAAAAACAAAAACACCTGCTCGCCCTCCTTCTGCCCAGTGCGGCTGTGGGAGCGGCAATACAGAGCCTCCGGGTACGTTTAAGGGTTTACCATGAGCATGAGACAGCTCGGGTTGCCATAACAAAACACCCCAGATTGGGCCTCTTCAACAATAGAAACAGACTTTCTCACAGTCCTGGAGGCCAGAGGGTGAGGTCAAGGTGTTGGCAGCATTGGTTTCTGCTGAGGTCTTTCTCCTTAATTTGCAGAGGGCCCCCTTCTCTCTGTCTTCCCAAGGTCTTCCCTCTGAGTGCATCTGTGTCCCGTCTCCTTTTCCATTAGGAGTGCAGGCTTTTTGGACTAGACCCCAAACTAACCGCCTCGCTTTAACTTAATTATCTCTTTAAAGCCACTGCCTCCAGTACAGTCACCTGTGAAGTACTGGGAGATAGGACTTCAACATATGGACTTAGGGGGACACAATTCAGTCCATGACCCCATTTTATCTCAAATTATCTCCCCCACAGCTTGCTCCAGTGCCTGAAACCCCTCTCCGGGTTCCTGCTCGCCCTGGACAAGAGCTCAGGCTTCTTACAGAGCCCATGGGTTCTCCAAACCCTCCAGACCGCCTCAGTGATTCGTCCGGTGCTTCCCCACCACTCCTAAAACCAGTCTGGCCACCCCCAATACCACGTGTGTTAGCTCTCGTGCCCCTGAAAAGCTGTCTCTCCGCTCACTGGGGACGCCACCATCTCCTGCACAATTCTGCTTTCCCCTGCATACATTCACACTGCCCTGGATCTAAGTCCTGGACGTCAGGGGCACATTCATCAGTTTCTTTTTTATATATAATTTTTCTTTTTTTTTTTAACCAGAGAGGAAGGGAGAGTCACAGATAGAAACATCCATGATGAGAGAATCATTGATCGGCTGCCTCCTGCACAACCCCTACTGGGGAATGAGCCTGCAACCTGTGCACGTGCCCTTGACCGGAATCGAACCCGGGATCTTGCAGTCCGCAGGGCCATGCTCTATCCATTGAGCCAAACCACCTAGGGCTTCTTCTAATTTTTTGGAAACATCAAGTTTGAAGAATTTCTCACAGTGTCATAGCTGGGTGCTTGTTTCCTAGCTTCTTGTCACAGGCATGTGACCTGAGTTCCACAATCAGACTCACAGAGCAGGGCCCTCAAAGAGGATTCATGCAGAGTCCCCTGGGAATGATGGGAGAGGATGTGGCTCCCAGGGTGAGGGTCTCTGAGTGTCATCATGTGAGGGGCAGTGACTGTGAGCAGAAGCAATGAGGTCTTGCTGGAGCCATCAGCAGCGGTTCTTTGGGTGACTTATCTAGCCTTGTGGCCACCACGTCTGCCTCTGGCCTTCCACTGACTGCCACTCACTGCCTGTGAGCTAGCTGACTGCCATCTTTCACAAATTGCTCTCCTGCTCACCCTGGGACAGGTCCTGTTCTTCACAAGTAAGAACTCTGTGACCACGGCAGTGACCATAACTAATTCCTGCCCGTGTCCTTCCCAGTGACTGGCACGGTGCCTGGGACAGGGCAGCCATGCAGAATAGGAGCATTCTGGGTAACTCAGGCATTCCACACTGCCAGTCAGTGCCACAGCTCGGAAGAGCGCCTCTGCCACTCACAAGGCACTGGCAGGAAGGCTGTCCCCACCTGCCCTCCCTTCAGCTCCAGGGGCAAGAGCTGGGGCTTGTGGTAGCGAAGGGAAGCTGGGCGTGGGTTAGGTGCTGGGAAGAAACACAAAACGAGCAGCATTCTCCGGATTAGCTGCAGCCAGCTTTGTCCAAACATGTCTGATGTTGATGCTGTTTCATCTTAATGAAGGAGGCTTATTGCTTTAGTGACTTGTTTACCTGTTTGTTTGTTTATTTATGGCACACACACACACACACACACACACACACACCATATATGTAAGTAAAAGAGAGAGAGCCAAAATAAGCAAAAGAAAAATGCTGTGGGATTGTACTGTGTCCCAAGAGCCACTGTCAGCACTTTGTAGGTTTCTAGGTGTGTTTTCATTTAGGAGAGACAGAAGTCATAGGCACGTTTTCCCAAGATGGAACACTGTTCCTCCCGTTATACATAGGTGTGCCGTGCCAGCAAAGCCAAGGGTTCGGCGAGCCTGAGCTGCGGGACGAAGGATGGAGAAATGACAAAGAGAAAAAGCTGGGTCTCGGTGGATCTTCGGTGCCTGGCTGAGGCCACAGAACAGGTCCAGACTGCAAAGCTGATGCTTTATTTTATGGTAGGGGACAAACAAGGTAGTTTACAATGTTCTTGTCAGTTTCACTTGTTTTGGCAGCACTTGCTGCCCCTCCCCCAGCCCAGTAGCCACCCAGGAAAGATCTCAGGAGAAGCTACAAGATCAAGCTTTATGCTTAGAGGACTGTGCCCTCCAAGCTGGGACTTGTTTGTGATTTTGCCAGCAGGTCAGTCCGAGGCTTAACGCTATATCGGCTTCCTACACATATGTTATAGCATATTGTTACACAATCTGCTCTGTTCATTTAGCAGTGCTATGACCATTGCTAAGTATAAGACCGATCACTATTTAATGGCTACATTTTATTACATAACCTGGCTAAGCCCTCATTTATTTGATCAATTGCTTCTTGTTCAGCATCCAAGCTATTTCTGAATTTTTAAAATTAGGAATTTTATTCTCTAGACTAGAGGCCCAGTGCATGGCATTCGTGCATTGGGGGCCCCTTAACCCAGCCTGCGCCCTTTCACATTCTAAGAGCCCCCAGGGGATGTCTGGGAGCAGGCCTAAGCCACAGTCAGACATCCTTGGACATCCTTAGTGCTGGGGGGAGGCCGGCTGCTGCACTCACCAGCCCCATCGGCCCTGCTTGCAGCTGAGTGGCCCTCCCACTGTGGGAGCACACTCACTACCAGGGGGACAGCTCCTGCATTGAGCGTCTGCCCCTGGTGGTCAATGTGCATCATAGCAACGGGACGCCCCCTCTCCACCACTTCCCCCTTTGGTCTATTTGCATATTATCCTTTTATTATATAAAGCAAAACTTTCCCCACACAATGCTAATTCCCTTAGGATAAGTTTGTAGAGATAGAATTTCCAGGTAAAGGTATTATTTCATTATTTGCTAATCTGATCAGTGGGGAATGTTATTTTGTTTTAATTTACTTTTCTTGGGGGTTTGGCAAGACCAGACATCTCTTTTTGTAAGTTTTTTATTGTTGTTAATCTTCACCCGAGAATATTTTTCTATTGATTTTTAGAGAGAATGGAAGGGAGAGGGAAAAACATGGGTATGAGAGAGACACATAGATTGGTTGCCTCCTGCAAACACCCTGACCAGGGCCAGTTACCTGCAACTAAGTACGTGCCCTTGAAGAGAATCAAACCCAGGACCCTTTAGTCTGTAGGCCAATGTTCTACCCAGAGAGCCAAACCAACTAGAGCTGTAAGGTTGTTGGTTTTTTTGTTTGTTTGTTTGTTTTTTGTTTTTTTAAAATATATTTTTATTGATTTCAGAGAGAGGAAGGGAGAGGGAGAAAGAGAGCAACATCAATGAGCTGTGTCCTACATGGCCCCAGCTGGGGATCAAGCCCGAAACCTGGGCATGTGCCCTACCAGGAATGGAATCATGATCTCCTGCTTCATGGGTTGATGCTCAACCACTGTGCCACACTGGTCAGGCTAAAATTGCTTTCTTTAAAAAGCCCCATTCTCACCTGTCTCCCAGTCTCTCAGTTCCTCTCGCTAGAACTGCAAAGCTGTTGAAACACAGTTCTTAGTCTGTCACACACTGATCTTGCTTTCTTCTCTTAGGGCTCTATTCTTTCCAATGGCTGCCTCATATATTACTGCATATATGCACCATAATTTGGATAACCAATCTCCTGTCAATGAGATGGATATTTAAGTTGATTCCAAGTTTACTGTTACCAACAATGCTGCTGCAAATATGTGTTCACATATTTCCCATTTCCTTTTTATTCTTTTTAAAATATATATTTTATTGATTTTTTTACAGAGAGAAAGAGAGAGGGATAGAGAGTTAGAAACATCGATGAGAGAGAACCATTGATCAGCCACTTCCTGCACACCCCCTGCTGGGGATGTGCCCGCAACTAAGGCACATGCCCTTGACCGGAATCGAACCTGAGACCCTTCAGTCCGCAGGCCAACGCTCTATCCACTGAGGCAAACTGGCTTCAGCCCCATTCTCATTTTCAAAGAACTTTGATCTTGCCCTGGCTGGTTAGATCACCTTTCTGTACACCAATGTTGCAGGCTCCATCCCCAGTCAGGGCACAAGAATCACAAACAAGTGGAACAACAAATTGATTCCTCTTCCTTCTTCTCCTTCTAAAAAAATCT